AGTTGAAATACGTGGCGGACAAACCAGCCAAGGACTATGTGTACCTTCAACACGACTTCGAAGCTTTGGATACCATCATTGATGTGGTAAAAATCATTCATTATTTCCGTTCTACCGTTTTCCACCGTTTTCCACACTACCGTGTTCACGACCGTGTTAGTGTCCTTATTTCAATTCACATGCAGTAGCTCACATGTCGTCTTTAAATGTTACAGCTCATATGTAGGGAGGGCTACGAGTGGGGGCAAGATCACGAAGGGCTACGAGTGGGGCAAGATCACGGAGGGCTACGAGTGGGGCAAGATCACGAAGGGCTACGAGTAGGGGCAAGATCAGGGAGGGCTACGAGTGGGGGCAAGATCAGGGTGGGCTACGAGTGGGGGCAAGATCAGGGGAGGGCTACGAGTGGGGGCAAGATCAGGGAGGGCTACGAGTGGGGGCAAGATCACGGAGGGCTACGAGTGGGGGCAAGATCACGGAGGGCTACGAGTGGGGGCAAGATCGGGGGCAAGATCAGGGAGGGCTACGAGTGGGGGCAAGATCGGGGGCAAGATCAGGGAGGGCTACGAGTGGGGGCATTATTACAAGCTCATATGTATTCCTCTGGTATTCTCCCGTGAGCTATACAGACTTAACAAGGGTTACTTGCGAGGGTCAGGCGATCTCTAGATGTCTGAAAACGCATGAGCTACGAATGTGACGTTCTGTCATAACGCAGTGAAATTCGGTACAAGTCACATCAATCCGGCCAATCTGCGATACAGATAGGCAGGCCTTGAACATATGTCCTTTTGTAGACTAAAGAGAATAATCGAGGGGCATACGAGTCATGATTCATGATATTTACTCTTCATCATCGTCATTATCAACATCATCATCATCTTCCTCATCATGATGATGGGGAAGATGATGATGATGATAATGATGATGATGAAGAGTACTCTTTATCATCATCATTATCAACATCATCATCATCATCTTCCTCCTCATCATGATGAGAAAGATGATGATGATGTTGATAATGATGATGATGATGAAGAGTGAATATAAGTCCTGAATCGATAATGCACTTGACTTGACGCTTAGAGTATACGTATACCAGTTGTTTTTTTTTTCAGAAAACATCAGCATTGTTTTGTTTTGTTTCTTTTCTTCTCGTACTCATACATACCTCCATGGCCCCAAGATCCCACTCTGGTATCTAAAATAAGAAATTTAAAGCACTCAATCCAACTTGTCTTCAATTGTTGTTGAAATATCATTATCTTGTCATGCATACATCACACAGGTCCTGGATTTTAATCTAGAAACATACCTTACAATGACATCTGATATATAGAAAATCCCTCGTCAAATATGTAACGACAAGCACATTAATTTTTCAAACATAACGACTAACATACTATTCATCATGCTCCCGGTATAATTATCTCTATCTGTAGTGTGCTTGGCAGCTAATACTCTGTCATTGTTCTAACAACGCCACATCATGAGACTTCTTTTATGAAAGAAAGTTTTAAATACATCTGTAGAAACAAAAAAAATGTGTGTACATTTTCCCCACCACCTCTTAGGTCGTCAACAAATCCTGCATAGAAATCCTGTCTGCATCACCTCCATATGTTTGTGCTGACGGTAAGCATGCATGTAACGTTTGCATGAAACTTCATCTGAGTTGGTAGATTACATATTGATTGAGAATTAAACTGTTTTCCAACTCAAAGAAGTGGCTGCCCGGTGTTTTCGACCGAAATTCTCGGTCTTCATTAGCTTTCTGACACAAGTGCTGACGTCACATGACGTCAGCACTGGGTCGCCGGAAGTCGGTGCCGCCCCCCGTCCCGGTTCGGTCGAAAATTCCTGTGAGTTAATCTCTTTGAGTTGAAGAGCAGTTTGATTCTCATTGCATTGTAACTCTTATTTTCTATTCATGATGAGAGGTAAATTTTTGAAAAATTTACTGAAAAATATGATTTAAAAATCTTTCTAAATATGCAACGTGCGCATGTACTGACCTGCTGATTTTTTTTTCTAGCGGAGTTTGAGGTGGATGTTTGGGGAAATGGCTTCACAAAATACCAAAATATATCAAACGTCTTCTGCAACTTCAGACTGAACGATACAGACAACCAAGGTACATAAAGAACTGCAAAAGTCATTCTGTCTTGTCTGCATACTATTTCATGTTGCATTGTTGTCGATTCAAATGAATGTTTGAAGATAACAAGATTAAAGGCATGTATATAATAATGTATAGAATGTAAATCTTATTCTTACACCTTGTGGCGTTATCCAATTAAGAATAATAAATCATACTGTTTAGTTTATAGGCCGAAGGAAGTGAGAAGTGACTATCTTCGCTGCCCAGCCCCTAAAATAGACCAGCCTGGAAGGTATGTTCCGGTGTCTTACTGCACGAAATTCTCTCTCTCTCTCTCTCTC